CTATAGCAAACCTGTTCCCGTTTCTACTGCAAACCTGTTGAGATTAATTAATGTTCGCGTGCTATCTTGAGTAAGGGACATAGTTTCAGAGATAAGTTTCCATCTGTCCTTTTGCAGCCAATAAAATTAATTAAAATGTCTCAGGCTGAACCATTGGAGGGCTTGGGTTCATAAAGTTCAGTACAGGATCAGAAATGGAGCTCACCTTTCCCTACCTCTCGTACCACACGTGGACGAGGACTTGAGGCGATGTTTTCGACCGACCAGAAGATTTCCAGTGATCGGATAACACGACCGATCCTTACAGTGGTCTTCTGTGTGTTGTTGACCATTGGCCAGGATACTCGCCACGGCGAGCACCGCAACCGGAAGCGCTAGATGCATCCTGAAATGTCTATCGTCATCTCTAGAGAAAGAGCCAGGGCACATTATTGGTTGGGGATTTTGGTCGAGTCCGTACGAGCCCTCCCCCTTCAGGCCCCCTTCATCGAGCTTTCGAGCGGGGAAGGGGAGGCGGGGGTAAATGGCACATGTGAAACGGGAAAATCCGCGAGAAAAATACAAAATACGACCCCCCCTTCTACCAATCCTCAGATTTTCCCCGACTTCCTTTCCAGAATTTCCCGTGAACCTCCCTACTTTTACCCAAAAATTTTCTTGTAGGGAGGGGGGGGAGTAAAGTGAAGTAAATACATACACCCCCCCCCTTTACAACGTCCGTGAAGCGAGAAAAATCAACTATCAAAATAAATTTTTCTCAGCCCAAATACGACCCCCCTCTCCCGGCGACCAAATACGACCCCCTATTGGGGATTCCCCAACAACCATGTGCCCTGCAAAGAGCTGAAACTCCGAAGTCGTAAGAACTCACGCAGCGCCCGTTCAGCAGAGGCGACGAGATGGGCGCTTCGATGACGTACAGCCTAAGACATTGTAATCAGGTCGTCGGAACAATTCGCGCGTTAGCGAAGCAAGCCGATTTAGCAAACACGCTCAGCTTTCATATGGCTGTACAAGACATCTGGCAACCAGTAATCATTAGCGTATGAAATCCAAGAGAATTCCCTGTCGATTGTGGCCTGAGACCTTTGAAATGAAGCAAAAGAAGGATGAGGAAGAAAGGAGGATAGAATGGAAAAAGAGCGATGTTCCGGTGGACGAGGCCCGGTGGGTAGTACCTGCCCTGATCCTTGAGACGGAGTTAGCGCGTAGACACTTGAACATGGACTAGGAATGAGCTACTGCGTAAGAATGTTGTCATTTAGGGGCAACTGTCATCTTGTACTCGTGTTTAAATAGATCGCGAAAACATGTTGTCTTAAATATGAAAATGTTCACAAAAGCATAGTACAAACTTGCGTTTATGTGCGCAACACGCCTATCGCATTTACGGTTATTGGGTTTTCGACGTACAACCATCGCGTTGTGGAAAAGTTTGTTGGCTCAACGCGCAAAACTTAACCCGTTCTTCCTCTTCGGAACTAACTTACACAACTCCTATCCTATTGCGAACATACAGGAACCCTTGAAGGAAGGGAATAGGCATCAAAACACGTCGATTCTTTTAGGCAAGATGTCCCCCCCCACCACAACGGTCAAATCGGTCACTTTGTTGTACTTAACCAAAGAAATGTGCCACATTCATATGTGAGGCAATGCCAGGACAATTTCAGAAACGGATAACCGAGCATTTTTGAGTTTAAAGATTTTTTAAACCTAAGATCTCATGGGGGCTACAAAACCTCATACATTACTGAAAGATATGTGGAGGTTAATGCTCACCGAGTTCCATGAGGGGAGGGGGCTAGAAATCGCATCATACGTTCGGCGAAGGTATAGGATTCATTCTCGATAACACTCTACGGAGGCCAGCAAAAACTGCACTCACACATTTTAGAGATGTGAACGAATTATTTATTCTCAGCGCTACTTCCATGGGGAGCTACAACGCTCCTCCTATCAGAGATCCTGTACCCATCCTCTCCCTCGCCCCTCCCCGATCAGCTACATAGCGCATAAAGGCCGGCAATCAAAATGCATGAATGGTCTTAATTGAGCCTTTCAAGATTATTTCAAGTTTTCCGCCTTCCTCAGAGCCTGAAAAGTCGCGAAACATGTTACCCGACCTGTTCCAGGCTCTGATGAAGGCGGAGAAGTCGAATTGTAAGCCCCGAAAAACATTGCAGCAATATTGGGAGGCTCAACAAAGATGATTCATACTGATTTCTTATTCCAAGCTTACAAGAAAGTCGATTGTGAGATATGCAGCAATTGAAAAAAAATTAAAAAAAAACACGGGCAGGATATGAATTTTATGCATTTCACGGTGATGTACCCAGCAGCAAACGTATTGTAGCAATATTGGGAGAGAGTTGGTGCCTCTAGAGTGAAAATTTTTGTGAGAGCAAAATGAGATAAGAGAGAGGACACAGTTATGGGGCAGTCTTTTAGGAAGGGGCTTCTGAGTGTCCCCTTTTGGGAAGAGGTCTTCACACCTGAAGAGGGAGGGGGTGTAGATCACTCCCACATCGTCTACCTTGGTAGCGAGATGAGGCTTTTTTGCAGATGAGATGATGTGATAGCGAAAATGCAACGATTATCGACTGAATGACGAGTACAAATGATGAGACAATCAATGGCAAGGGTAATAAGGGAGAGTTTCGCGCGGTCATTGCGGTGCAGGTCGGGTCGGGTCATTGGGGCTACGATTGGGAATCATCATCAGTAGTAGTAGCGGGGGAAAGGCCGGCGCCGATAAGCGACGACACCCTCCTCTACTATTGCTCACGAAAATATCGCCTATCGATCAGTGTTCGGGGAAGAAAAGGTCCGAATCATCGCACTTTCGCATTGTACACACTCTGTAGTGACGGTGCTAAATTACCATAGATTGTGGTGAGGGGAACGGAGAAATGGATCCTTTGCTTACTTAAGGGACCTTCAAGAACATTCGAGACCGTGGTTGCTTCCCCAGGGAAGAGCCATGTCCGCGACTACCCACATCTTAAGGCTTCAAAAGCATTTGCTTCATTCAATAATCAGGGTGAAAGTTTTGGAACAGAATTTCCCACCACTGCGCTGATAACTCTCTTATCATATCACGCCTCTGAGGTCATCGGGGTTCTATTCAGAAAGAAGCAGCAATGCCACCCCCCCCCCCCCGAAAATGTCAAAATTCGCATTTCTTCTTTGATGTTTACCGAGGTGATGCACTGCGGTTAGGGCGTCATATTGCACTTTTGTGATGGGCACGATCTACGGCCCACAGATGCTCCGCAAAGGTCGCCTGATGCGCACCGGAAATATTTGGGAAGGGAAAAGCCGCTTTTTCTACTGCTCACCGAAAGCTGCCAGCCCTCAACACTCGCTCATATGTCTCTAGGATTACTAGGTGCATGGCTTATTCGTAAAGCATTGATAAATGTGGTCGCCGCCTGCGAGAAGCTTGCTTTCCAGTGAGAATGGAACCTTCCGGGGTCAGTGGAGAAGATGGTGCAATAGGAAGGGGCATTCTCATGAACGGCATCAAACACAGGACAACAACTCTCGCCCAAGACCTCCCATCCCTACAGGGCCGGTAAAGTGGTACAGGATTTGTCTGAGAGGACGAAAGTACTGATTTCGCGTCATCTGCAGGTCATCAAATAGGTCGGATTGCATTCGAAAGTCGCCGTGATTCTGAGTGGAAAAAGAATGCGCGGCGCATCCCGATATGCTAATGGTAAATGCCGAATATTCTCTACCTTTTCAGAACAACTTACTCGTTTCCTAGCTCCTGCCCCAAGAGACGTTACAGGAATTCAACGTAAACGCGAAAGTTCGCAATCACATGGACAAAATACATTTGGCATAAACTTTCAATCG